AACTGAGGGCAGTAGCCCATATTAGCACCTGCCTAAAAGGATAAACATGAACGCTAAGAGAAAATCAGGGCGACGAAATTAAAACATTTGTGCCAAATAAAGCGGGTGGGACTTATATCGATTGCAGTTAAAGACGGTTATTCCATTTAAAATAAATCTTCTAGAGTTTTCCACCAACTTCTTTAATTCCACTATATATTAAGCACTTAAGCAGTTTTCGATTCCTTCTATCACGCGTCTACCATTTAGCGCGAAATCAAAAATGTTTGAAAAGCGTTACAACACGTCGTCACTTATAAACGGACCATTCATAAACCCATCTTTCTCTACGTCCTTCTCTGACTTTCGGAACTTTTGTAAGGATAAAAGCTTGAGCTGTGCTAAGTTTTGTGCATCTCTCACGAAATTTTGAATTAACATTAATTCGGGTTGTGTCACACTTTGTTAAGAGTGCGTAACTGCTTCTTACAAAGTGAAAATCTTTTAGCATCAAGGCAAAGTAGCCTTCAAACCTCTCCAGTTAATTTCCTACAATACAATAGCTTGGACAAGGACTTTTCCCTCGATTCTTATAAACATTTGATGGACTTAATTAGTAGCAGCTATAGCATATAAAATTCTATCAACGAAAGCATATCCGAGTTCAATAAGTCTCTTAAAAATCGTGATGCATAAGGTTGGCGCAAAAATTTTCCCCTATTTTTCCGGGCATTTTTATTGTCGACAAAGTATAATGGAATAGCAAACAAAATGTTAACTGCATTTGAGCACAAGTTTTGTGTAATCAACGGATAGATTTGCATTTTAGTGGCAGAATCTCTTAACCAACCTTAAAAAATTCAGTTAAGTGAAATTCACCCACTTGTAATTTACTCTAGTAACCTAACAGAAAATTTTATCGGTCTGATTTCAAATACTAATCATTAGCAAGAGCTTTGCCTGAGCTATTCGCAGCTCACAGCAAATTTTCCCGAGGAGCCTCCAAAATTCTTGTAAAAAAATTTCCCCCACAGTCTCAACCTCAGGTCAGCACTATTGTTCGGAAAGTACTTGTGGATTTGTTGCATTTGTTGATGTTGAGAAAAAAGTTCTAAGTCATTTAAGCCATCAGACTGGTGGTAGCGACATGGTAACGAGACAAAGTGAAACGTGCTAACTATAATAGCGCAGTACTAACTACTTAAGAGTACTAAAGATTTAATTTTCTAATATTTAACAAGGAAGAATCATACAAATCAAGCTTTTGTCCTTTTATCCATCGCTTCGTTCAGTATCGTCTCTCTCTTAAATTTTCCCCTGTCAGTCGTTGTACTTACCCAAAATTTTTTAATTTTTCATTTTGTCCTAGGGCTGCAAAAATCTCGACCCTTGTTTTTTTTTATTATAACATTTGTCAATCATTGAGGTACTGACCTTTCTCCAATCATTCTTCACGCTCCAACCATTGACAAAAGCATCTCCATCACTAATGTCATTTTCTCCTGTCAACATCTGGAACGTAGTCGTTTTTCCAGCTCCATTAACTCCCAGTAGGCCAAAACATTCTCCTTGTTTCACGTGAAATGTCACGCCTTTCACCGCTTTTAAATTACCAAACCTTAATTTATAGATGGTAGATAGAAATATTACAATTTTAACTATCTATTAATCCTTACTGTTTCTTTACGTCATCGACAATAACAGCTGCATCTTTCCTATCCATCGATTTCACACGGTTCTTCTCTGCTATCACATCGCTATCTTCACCAGTAAATACAGCATCGCTTTCCAAATGCCAATTGTCAATCTGTAATTCGCGTTATTCTCCCTCTTACTATCACTATCGTATTGTTAAATATTATATTTATAATATATCTGTTGTCACCTGTGAGTCTGCAATTCGATTCTTTCTGGCTGCTTTAAAGTATGCCGGGAGCCGCCCAAATAGTTTGTTTTCAAAAGCAAATACTAGAAACCAGAAGATGAAACCCTATAAATATCTAGA